TTGTATTTTATATGTATGAGTGCAATGCCTACATGTAGGTGGGTGCACCCATGTTGTGCAGTGCCCACGGAGGTCAGAAGAGGGTGTTACAGATGGTTGTTAGCTGGCACATGGGTGCTAGGAACCAAACCCAGGTCCTCTGCAAGAGCAGTTAGTGTTCTTAATCACTGAGCTCTCTTTCCAGCCCCTCCTTTAAGAATTTTAACTAAACGGATTTAATTTCTTTTCTATGCATCCTCTAAATTGCCTTCTGATCTTGGCGTCTACCTGTGCTTTATTTCACTTGGATTCTTCTGACTTGTTTCCTGTTCCTTATTTTCCTTTTCGTCTTAATCACATCTTCCCACACACTCTTGCTCTGTGGTCTTCATTTTAGATATTGTGTTTATTGATTCTAAACATTTCAGTTGGTTCTTCTTCAAGTTTGTGATATGACTTTTTATAGTTTTCAATTTTTTTCTGAAAGATTTTAGTTTGACTCTTATCTCTAAGATACAGTCTAGTGACTGTAATATTGGACATGCCAGAGCCTAGGCTTTTGGATGTCTGTGACTCGTGCTATGTTTTATTATGAAATACTGTTTCCTCATTAATATGAACATCTTTGATAGTCTGCTGGCCATTACATAGGAAAAAGCATTGGAGGTGCAGGAGGATTTTCTCTCCCTTTGAAGAAAACTTTTTTTTTTCCTTTGAAGAGGACTTTAAATTGCTTCTTTTGTCCATATCTAAATGCATGAGCAATAGGAGTTCTCTCCCATGACCTGAGGTTTGTGGGGACCACTTAGGTGACTCGAAATTGGAAGACAGCTTCTGTGGAGGCTGCTGTCATTTTCCCCAGGACACGTGTGGTTTACCAGGACTTGCATCCTTATCAGGCCCTGGACTCACCATCCTTTGCCACAGAAACCCCAAAGGTGTTGCTAGCTCTTTCTGCAAGAACAAAAGCCCTGTAGGCAAGAAGTATTCCAAATACTATATTCACATTTTCCTCACATATTAACGTGCATGACTTTGCTGCATTTAGAAAGATGTTTTTAGATGTTTGCAAATGTCATCCAACCTTTTAATTGTCTTTTTTCAGGAGTGTTGGTTCAAATTAGCATTAACGAGAGTCATACACCTTAAGTTTGTATAATATCTTGCCAATGCGGACTCTGCAGGCTTATTTGGAAGGTGAGTACATAACCATGTCGAATAAACTTTTGCTAATGAACCAGTCTCATAAAATAATCCTCAAAATGCACACCATTAAATTTGAATGTTTTGAAAGATGGAAAAAATTTTGAATCGTCTTGAGTTAAACTCAAAAGAACCTAGCCAATTGGAGTTTGTGTAAGAAACTGACAGGAAGCTAAAATAGAAAAATCCATTAACCAAGAAAGCCTGGTTTATATTAGAATGAAATGTCTATAAATACAAATGAAACATGGAAATTATTTTGTTAGAAAACCAGTAACCAAAACTTTTTAAATTTAAAAGGAAAAGAAACCTTCAATCTCTCTTACATTAACCACAAAGTATTAGCTTCAAGTAGAATATGCTAAAGTTGTTGGGAGCAGCAGAGACTCTTCAAACCCACCAGACAAACACCTTCCCCGCACCCCGTCACCCGGCCTGTTTTGTCTTATCAAGCTTAATAATAACTGATCCAAACTCGTTATGAGAAATCTATTCTACTGGACTTCCCTGATTTGTTTTGCAGTCAATTCTACCCAGTGATATATAGATACATAAGGAGGCTTTGGCCAAAATTTTACCATCCTGAAAAAACATTCTCTCTCTCTCTCTCTCTCTCTCTCTCTCTCTCTCTCTCTCTCTCTCTACAGCCAACAATGTTCTTTCTTGCTTCCCTAGATCATAGACTCAGGCTATAGAAGCCATTTTTGGATATGAAGTTAAAAAGCACATTGAGACGAATAATATTAGGAGCAGAAATGGAGCTGCTATACAGCCCTTGGTACCATCTACCTCCTGATTTGATTTTAGGTTAAAAAAAGAAAGAATCAATGTCCTTATGTTTTTAAGTTGCTAGGAAATATCTTTCCTATGACTTTACATTGAAAATACCCATGTGTATTAGAATACATTCTCAAAATGTGCTCATATTGCAATGCATTGATCCATACTTGAGTAGCAACAGTGTTTGAAATTTGTGTCACTTACCATAAAGCAAGTGTCTGAAGTTTCAAGGTCAAAGTCTGTGATGTTCAAGAGAACTCGGTGATGTTTTTCAACTTTAATGATCCAAGAGCAGTCAGTGTTAGCCCTATAATTACTGGGGTAATTTGGAGAATGAATCTCTCCTCTTGGAGACTGGAAAATTCCACCACAACCTATAAGTAGGAAACCCAGTTCAATAGTGAGAGGAATCACTGATAAAACTGTACTGTAGTGTAAATCATCAGCATCCCACTTTGCCTAAATATTTTATTTGTTTTATGCTAAAAATATTAAGGAAATATCCATACTAACTCCTTTATTCCAGCAGGAATAAAGAGACATGGATGAATGTGCTAATACAATGCTTTAAATACTGTAAATATTGATGCCCAAAGCTAATTAAAATAACAATGAGGGCTGGGGATATGGCTCAGTTGATAGAGGGTTTGCCTAGATGCATAAGGTCCTGGATTCAAACCCCAGCACTACATAAACTGCACAGCCATTCATGCCTATAATTCCAGCATTCCAGAGGTAGAGGCAGGAGGATCAGCAGTTCAAAGTTATCCTCGGCTATGTAGAGAATTTGAGGTCAGCCTAGGCTATATGAAACCCTGTCTCAAAATAATGATAATAGCAACAAAAATAAATACAAATGAAGTCATGTTCTCACAAGGTGCAAAGTGCCTCTTCATTGTTCACTAAACTATCACATACTGTGAGAATAATCATCTCCTTTGAAATGTTTGATAATTTAGTAATATATGATTTTATAAATAAGGTTTGTAATATTTTAGATATGGTGCAATTATTTAGGCTGGGTTAAATTCCTATGATGTTGTCAAATACCTTTAGTGAAAAGTCTATTATTATGACCTGTCAATACTTGGATTTCTAATAATACAAACAAGTAATAGAAAATTCAGCACTATTTTCTAGGGATGGATAATCACTTAGGGCTAATCTGAACACCATACACATAAATTCATATGCAGTTCACTCTAAAAGAGGTCTAATATAGCACATTGCCTTGGTGATGAGGAAGTGGGTCTAAGGTGGCCCAGGGTCACATCTCTGCACTAACATTTCTTGTCATGGGACTTTGGGCAAGCCACTAGCTTCTCAGAGCTTCCCCTCCCTCACCTGAAGGATGAGGGTGTGAAATAGATTTCTCTCAGTATAAGGTTATAAAGATTAAATGAGATAAACTTCATTAACTGGAAAAATACTTGACACATAGTAAACATTCCATAAATTCCACTAGTATTAGCATTTATGTTAGTGAATGTCTGTTAAAATATTATGTGCCAGCCGGGCGTGGTGGTGCACGCCTTTAATCCCAGCACTCGGGAGGCAGAAGCAGGAGGAACTTTGTGAGTTCGAGGCCAGCCTGGTCTACATAGTGAGTTCCAGGACAGCTGGGGCTACAAGGAGACCCTGTCTCAAAAAGACAAAAAAAAAAAAAAAGTATGTGCCATAATGTGTAATTTTAAAAGTCTGCAACAGGTAACTTACTTTGACAATCTAAGATCTTGAGCAGAAAATCACTGTTGCAACACACATTTCCTTAGAATGACAAATTGAATGCTTGCTTTTTTACATTTACTGAAAACATAAAGGTCTGCACTATGGTATGAGCTAGGTGAACACTGACACTCAAGATTTAACGTGGGGAATGGGCACTAGTAACATGCTCACCGAAGAGCCTCTCCTGTCACCTGGTTCTGATCTCTTGGGACTGGCACATTGTATCCCTGTCACACATGTGCTTACTCTTAGAAAGTTAAACCCTATGAGGCTTTTCAAGGAAGGCTTGTAACCATGTGAAATCGCAAGTCATCAGGGTGTGGCCTTCACGCTTCTTCCAATCCTTTTGTAAAAGCCAACCAGGGCTTGGCTTAAATACTTCAAGTATACCTCCCTTCATCCACTCACCTCCAGGGACTGCTCTCCAGGAAGCGTTGAAGCCTCTCCCATCTACGGAGTTATCAGTCTTAAATCGGATTGCTATCTCATTTCCAGTGCTGGAGAACTGCATGGGGTTCACAGATGATGTTCGGTCACACAACTGAGCCAATCTTGGAGAGTGGAAATCAGGACCGCCATAGATCTAACAAAGGGTGCAGAGAAGGACTTAAACATGTGTATTTAAGCAATTTCAGCCCATCCCTGTGTTCCTTTTGGCAAACACCTCATGAGTAGAGACTGACAGTCTCCCTGGGAGGATGAACTATAAACTCAAACTGGGTTTTTAAAGGCCCTCCTTCTGCCTCAGGAACACACAAGTTCAGTCATTCACTAAATTCACAGAATAGTAGAAGTGTAGACAAAGTAGATTTTTCCAGAATCTTCCCTATCTCCCAGTTTCTTCTCTCTGGTGTCTCTGGGATTTCTTGTTTTCTCTGACAGGGACATTGCAGGCAATACAGTGTAAAGACTGATTTTCTGAATCTTATAGGCCTTGGCAAAAAGCTATTTTGTTTATGAAAGTTGAGTTCACCAAAGGCTGTTCATTTTCTAGTTACATTTTTAGGAATTTCCATCTATCCTGCAGACAGAATACTTTATAAGATTAGGCATCAAATAGGACAGGTAGGAGCAGAAACACATCCCGTGGAGTGTGTTCCAGAGAGGTGAGGTTGGCTAAGTACCCTGTGAGCTCTGACGACCAGACCAGGGCTTTCACCTTCTGCTTGGGAGCCTTTTAAACCCTGCACTTGGCTTCAAGCTCTTAGGCACCTCCAAATTTTCCCAGTTCTCTGCTGACTGGGATCCATCAACTCTGTGGCAGGTTCCTGAGGAGCGGGCTTCCCTTGGCCTCACTGCTGGGAGAGCTCACATGCTGGTTCCACTCTCCTCCCAACCCTTCTTCTCTAATTACTGTGCAGGGATGGGGGTGAGGGGAAGATCAGACTCAGACAGTATAGACACCCCCAATCCTGCCTTCAAAGTCTTTTCAAAATTGATTTGTAGAAGAAAGGCTACTGTGGGTGACAGTTTTCAATTATACTGGTATCTGGGCCCTCACAATCTCAGACTCTAAACCCAGGCCAAAGCCAGGAAAGCTGCTCCCAGGGAGACTGTGCACAGCATCCCTTTCACTCCCAGCTCCTGGTTGGTCCACAGCCCCCCTCCCCCTTCCCCAGCGCCAGTGGCCCTCAGGCACTCAGCTGACTGTTAGGGAGTTCACTCAAAGAGTTCCATGATGGAGCAGGAGTAGGAGGGGGAGGATGGAGGGAGGGAGGGAAGGAGGGAGGGAGGGAGGGAGGGGAAGAGGGAGAGAAAGAGAGAGAAACAAGAAAGCTACTTTGGAGGGGGAGTACATGATCTGAATCTATAATGATTTCTTTGTCTGATTAATTTCCCCAGCCATGCAGGAAAGGCCAAAGTGAAAGAGGCTGCTGTTTCCCAGAGGCTAAGCATACAGACAGTAATGGCAAAGGAATTGAGCGGGCTGGCTGCTCCTTTTATTTTCCTTAGTAGGAACTGATGTTTGCTGTGTGTGAGGCCCCGAAGTGCCTTGGAAAGCAGGACTTCAGGAAGAGCCTCACGTGGGCACTTTCCACGTACACACAAGCAACCGGAAGGAACGTGATGTCTCGCGTGGAGCTCCTTTGTCATCCCCACGTCCTCCCTGCCTGGCCCAGGGCACAGTCCCAGGGATGCAGCCAGCAGCATGTGCTCCTAAGCAGCCAGGCCGACAACCCGCTCTTATTCTCAGAGAAGCCAAGCACCAGCGCCGAGCGCTCACAAAGAAAACCCACATGTCTGCAAAATAATCTTTGTTTTCCTGTCCATGCATCCCCTTGAGATCACAAACATAATGGACATGAGTTGGCCGAGCCTAGAAAGCCCCAGAAGAGCGAACGCTGTCACTTCCGACATTCTTTGCTTCCCCTGGCACTGAGCTGCGTGCGGTCCCAGAGGTACACTGCTGAGAGGACCGGCGTTAACTGCCCACAGCAGGCCATTGTCCTGCTTTATTGCACAGGGAGTGGATTTCCTCTCCTGCTAGATGCTGGTTCCCATTCTTTACAGAGCTTTCGCAGAGACTAAAGTAAAATCAGCCTGGGACCAAAGCAACAGAATGGTGATTTTGGCACCCATAAATAAAAACGACAACACATGGCCAAGAGGGGAGGATGGAAAGAATGTCAGGGTGAGGCCTGTTCCACCCCAGCTTATGACTAAACTTTGCTGGGAGGGGACTGGTCTGTTGATCTGAGATTAAAGTGTGTTTTTAGCAAATGCCCAGGATGGAGACTATTTCAAAGCCTATGGTTTTCATCTGTTTTGAACATTGCTTTCTGCTTTGTTAGCTCCATTTACTGTAAGGTCAAGTCAGCATCCCTGGTTATGAGTAATGGCACCCGGGGCTGGTGCTTTGTGCGACTGGCCACTTTCTGGACTGTGAATTTTCTGAAGAGGGAAAATGGCTCCTGGTTAAACTCGATGAGTCCCAGTACCTCCGATGTCCGGTGACACCAATGTCCTACTTGGGTATGCTTAGCCGAACAGGAAAAGTGGGTGTGGGGGAGGGGGGAATGTTAGCCTTCATTCTGGACCACACACCCACAGGGGTGGTAACAAAGTTTGAAGCTTACTGCCCAACACATTATCAGTGACTAAGGAAAGGGGGGTGGAAAAACTCCTTTACAGTTACTAGGCCCAGCTTAGCGCAGAACTTGCCATCTGCATTCAGCAGTTGCAGAGAAATAAAGTTTTTGAAGAAAAAGCCCAGAGTTACTCTTTTCAGCCTGTGTAGGGGAACTTCCCAAATCGTTAAGGACCTTGACATACCACGCCCACTTTAGTGTCAACTTGAGGGAGCCTCAACTGGGGAATTGCCTTCATTGGACTGGTCTGTGGCCATGTCTGTGGGGCATCTTCTTGATTGTTGAGTGATATGTGAGGGCCTAACCCACTGTCGGTGGTGCCACCCCTGGGCAAGTGGGCCTGGCATAAGAAAGCAGACTGAGCAGGGGTTGGGGAGCAAGTCAGTAAGCAGAATTCCTCCATAGCCTGTGCTCCAGCTCCTGCCTCCAGGTTCCTGCCCTGAGTTCCCACCTTGGGCTCTCTGATGAACTGTAACCTGGGAGATGTAAGCTGAATAAACCTTTTCCTCCCCAAGTTGGGAGTGGTCAGAGTGTTTTGTCACAGCAATGGAAAAACAAACTAGGACACCCTGAGACTGTGCTTTTGATAGAACTTGGGAACCCACCATAATGTCAGCTTGCCCTAATTAAAAAATAAGCTGCAAGCAGACTGCCACCTTCCCACAGACATTTCCAAGCTGTGTAGCCCCACCCACCTCAACGGTGCTGCCTGAAGTCCCTGACTTTGCCCCTCTCTTCCTGTCTCTACTTTCTCCTGTACTGGGTGTGACTAGATCAGAAGCACAATGAATCCATTACCATTTTGCCAAGTGGGCACCAATCACATGTGCTTTGGAATACAGAAATGAAGGGCTTGGAACCCTGCACACTGCTCTGGAGAATCAGCTGCCAGCACTTTGAAAGCAGTCAGGGTTTTATGCAAGAAACCATTTCGACATTCTACAAGAGAGTGTGGGGCCTGCTTCGGGCTGTGAGTGTGGATTTCCAGAGTGCTTTGTTCTCTCCTAAAACATCATTTCTTCTGTAAGGCAGAAGCACCGCATGGCAGTACCACCAGAGAGAAGGCTGTGCATTTGACCCAAGGCCTTTCCGCTCTGCCGATGACGTCTTTTCTTGTCTCTTTGTAGAGGATACTGAGGTGCTAAATGACTGTACCCAGCCATTTCTTGTGATTAAATAGCTTTTATTTATTTATTTTTATTTTATGTGTATGGATGCTGTGCCTGCATGTATGCAGGTGCTCCTGTGTCATGCAATGCCTGCAGAGGCCAAAAGAGGGCATTAGGTCCCCTCCAACTGTAGTTACAGAGGATAGATGGCCACCATGTGGGTGCTCACACTGTGCCTGCCACTGCTAGTTGGTCTCCCCTCCTAAATGATCCAACCACAGCCAAGATACCACTGGAGGGAAAGCAAACTAACATGTTAATTCTATGCCTGCTAGCATCTGGAAAGGGTCAGGCTCATTAGAACATCTAAGACTAGAACGGGGCTAGCCACTACAAAGAATGTGGGGAGCTCTCCAGTTTCACCCCATATTTTGCAATGTATTGAAAAACAATCTGACTTCCTACCTCCAGGGTGTCAAAGTTGCAGGCTGAATGATATTCCACATCGAAGTCATGGATGGTGAGCTGGATGCTACTCCCTAGAGCTGTGCGGATGTACCAGATACACTCCTTGTTGGGAGGGTATTTGTTAGGGTACTCAGGGCTGCTGAAGGAGCCCATGTCTCCAGACATCTCCCCACCACAGCCTGTGGAACAGCAAAGCCTAGTCAGTCAAAGAGGCAGCAGCAGTTGGAACATGTTCAAAGTATCATGTCATCATAGTTATGACTTAAACTATTATTTTTAGAGAATATTCATTGCATCATTTGCATAACAATGCTTCATTCTTATTCTTATCACATGTAGATTTTCTTCATTAGAGTCTGGTGAGAACAACTCAGCAGGAAAACAGTGCATTCTGGGAACGGACTTGGACTCCACCTTCCATGCCTCTGGGTATTCAGAGTGTCTGTCAGGACATTATTACTACATACCTTTCAGATGCAAGAGACAGAGTTCTAAGTGCCCCAAATCCTGAACTTTACAGAAGATGCTGTACAAATCTTTTTAAGTAAATTATACGGGTTCTGATTCTGGGAACTTCGCTCTAAACAAACCCCAAAGTCATCAGATACATGATGGAAAAGAGCACCACATGTGTTTCTGTGGGTTTAAATAGCATGTCTTAGAAAGTAATTAGGACAGGTTTTTACAGCAGTGCCACACAGAGTGCTTGTTGGGGGGTATTTCTTACTTTCGTTCTCACACTGGAGCTGAGACACATGAGGCAGGCACTGGTTTAGCTGCATTTCTTTTTGTCTTTTTGAGACAGGGTCTCCCTGTAGCCCCAGCTGTCCTGGAACTCACTATGTAGACCAGGCTGGCCTTGAACTCACAAAGATCCACCTGCCTCTGCCTCCCAAGTGCTGGGATTAAAGGCGTGCGCCACCACACCTGGCATAGCTGCATTTCTTAAATGAGCAGTTCAGTGCAGAGGCCAGGCGTCTTGCCGAAGGTTATGTGGTTACAGGTGGTAGGCTTACATTACCAGCTGAGGCATTCTAGTTGTGCCAGATCCCTGTACAGTCAGCCCTCTGTATCCAGGAGATCTGCATCAACCAACTGCAAGTCAAACATATTTGAAAACACACTGTCTTTTCTGATATGTGTACTTTTTCCTCATCTTTATTCCTTACATAATATAGTACGGTACCTCTACATGCAAAACACTTATATTAGGTATTATATAGAAGTAATCAAGAGATTATTTAAAATATACTAGAGGATGTACATAGGTTTTGTGTGATATTATGTCATCCTATGTAAAGACCTGAGTATCTGCAATTTTCATGTCTGGTGGGAACTGCTGAGCCAATCCCTGTAGATGCCAAGGAAAACTTTTATCTTGAACCCAGAAATCTCATGTGGAGACACAGAGAACACTTTACAGAGGTCCAATTTGAAGAAAGCTTATTACAGCAAAATTAGAGGAAAACAAAGACTTTTGTCTTCCAATAGCAGTTTCCAGTGATTAAAAAAACCATTTTCTTCTCTATTGACATTTCTGAGCCTCCTCTTTTTTAGGGAACCTTTGAGAGTTGGAAAATTTTCCCAAGTAGTTCATCTGTTTCACAGCTTTTCATGTTCTAAAATAACAATGCCTCCTCACCCCCTTGTGAGTAAATGTGCAGGTTCACACGAATGAAATTAAACTATCCTAACTCTAAAAGAAAGTATAACCAAAGATTAAAGGGGCCAATATAATTTCATAAGAGTCCATGTGTATAGCTAAAGGCTCCATAACAAGCAACAATGCCAGATAGGAGATACCTTCTTTGGAGTTGTTGGCCAGGGTGGCCAAAGGGATTCGCAGATAGTAACCCAGCATAGAACTGGGAAAATGAACAGCAGACCCCAATCTTATCTAAAGGAATATTGACAACTGATTGCCGCTAGATAAGAAACAGCTGACCCTCCTAAAACTAAGACCTCTAGATAGGCTGACTAGATTCACCAGAAGGGCAAGTAGTGGGGAATGGCTGGGGGTGCCGACAACACAGCAGACAGTAGCAGGGATATCAGAGTATAAGGGCTCTAGTGGGGGGAGGGAGGCTATGGGAGGGTGCTATCTGGGAAGTGGGTGTAAAAATAAATAAATATAAATAAAAAGTGAAATGCTGAACCTGAGATTTTGTCTATTATCTACCCTTATTAGTGCAAACTTATTTATATAGTGACAGAGAAACAGCCCTTTTAGAAAAGATTTTTAAAGGGCTACAAAGATGTCTCAGTGGTTAAGAACACTGGCTGCATTGCAGAGGACCTGGGTTCTATTCCCAGCACCCACATGACAGCTAATCTCCAGTTTCAGGGGATCCAATACCATCTTTTGGCCTTCACAGGCATTGCATGACATGAGTGCACTTATATACATGCAGGCAAAACATTCACAAATATAAAATAGAAATAAATGAATAAAAGTTTTTTAAGTTCCATACAGAACCCACACTTAATGGGAAAAAACTAGGAAGAATTCTATGCAGAATTTTGAGTCTGTAAAGGAATTCTAGCCAGACATTCTGACGCAGGTCAGTATTTTCAGCGCTTTGAGGCAGGAAGACCAGTAAGTAGTTCAAGGTCATCCTCAGCTATATAGCAAGTTTGAAATAAACTTGGGATACTTGAGCATGTCACAGGAGGGAGGGAATGAAGGAAGGAGGGAGGGAGGGAGGGAGGGGGGAAGAAGGGAGGGATGGGAGGAGGGAAGGAGGGAGGAAGGGAGGGAGGGAGAGAAATAGAGATCTGATTCCAGCTCAAAGTTCTCTAAGTGCTACCAGCTTCTTGAATTGATCTTCTCCTACTTCCACTTGAAAACTTCTGTGTTTCCTGGCTTTAAATTAGTAGCCCAAGGCAATATCTTTCCTATGTCCTATCAAGTTTCTTCTTCTAGCTCTGCTAGAATCCTACAAAACTATTTAGAACTAGACATGTTGACATTGTTTATAGACTGTAGAGAACATTTTTAAAAATGAAACTTCAAGTGCCAGAAAAAAGTAGAATTTTTTTTCCTCCTGTAAAAACATAGAAAATAGTCCTGAAGCCCAAACCCACACAGGTCGTATGAGTCTCCAGATTCTACAATCACTTGACTCCATGGGTGCCGTTCGCAGCATTATTTATCCCATAAAATGATGCTTCATGAAGGTAAGCAACAGTGTGGCCTGTACCATGTGAAAGCATAAAACTTTTTCCTAAGTTACATTGCAAGTTTACAATTTTATCAGATAGGGCTCTTGACAGTCACTTCATCAAATAATCCAATGAAAAAACTTCTTAGAGAATAGCTCGGCGGTTCCCCAACAGGAAGGGGAGAAGAAGGAACTGGAAGCCTGCACCACATCTTGGCATCTTGGTTTGGCTTCAGTTCGTCAGCCAATCTAATGCATTACTTTAAAATCATAGGTGACTCATCTAAAACTCTGTAGTACATTTTTCCATTGTCTTTTCCAATTGTTTTGCATTTCCTTATAAATTCCTTTGCACATAACAGGCTGCTAATGCCCGGAGACTAGTCACTGCATCTGGTATCAGAAGATCAGATTCTTGGCATCAGTGCTCCTTTGAAAAATTACAGTTCCAGCTCTTCAAACCTACTGCATTCCTTCTTTCTAAAATTCAAAGTTCTCAATAAACAAGGTGCATTTAAAAATGAGAGTAACTTTTTTCCAGGACGTGATATTATGTGCCCATCAACAGCAAGTGCATACATCTTTTGAAAAGAAATCCTAATGTTATTGTTGGTGTTTCCCTGTCAGAAGCAAGTGTGTTTTTTGTGAGAACAAGGCAGTTGAAGCTTGCAAGCTCTTTGAAATCCTTTGTCTCCCTCCTGCTCTCATTACTTCTGTAGTGCGCCATTTAAAAGGTGATGAATTTTATTTTAAAGTTCACATCAAATGCAAAAAAGAATATGGCATTTGGTAGTTGTTTATGGTTGGAACCTTAAAAGTCTAGAAAACAAAGTTAATCTTGGTGATTATGGTAGAAATGTGACTCTATATTTGTAGTTCTAAAGTTCAAAAAAGTAAAATAACTTTTCAGTTTCATCCATCCATCCAGTCACTTAATAAATGAGTGTTTGTTGAGCTTAGGACAAGCACTGCTGTAAAAACCAGGCCTATTTAATGTCTCTTGAAGGTAAACCAAATTTATGGACTTAAATTGTGCAATTACACAATTAAATTGTTATTGCTTGTCCTTTCATTTGCAAAGATTAATTTGGACAAGCTTGGATTTGATAAAGTAAGTGAATTAATTTTATAGTTTATATGTCAAATGGTCATAAGTTACAAAGAAGATTGGATGGTCATGTCATTATTACATCGGTGACTGGGGATGTGACTTACAGTCACAGGAAGGGACGAGAAAGGGAAGGCTGACGGCGGAAGAAGCTAGCAACGAACAGTTCCCTGGCAAGAACAGCAGAGCTGATGTCCACATGATCTCTTTGCGACGGTGTTGCCTTTGTGACTGAATGAATAATAAAATGTGGAAGAAACAGTAAAGTTTCTGTAACTAGATATCTATAATCTAAAATAGATGAAAGTTGATTTAGAAAAAAAGATGTCAGGGTCTACATGAAGGATATGACAGAACGATAAAAACGCCAACTCAGGGGAGAATGAGGGTGTGTTGAATGAAGACTTTCCAGGGTTGCAGAGAGCAGAAATAGTACTGTGGGTCTTTGTAGCCAGTTAGAGAAGGTTTTGTGCAGAGGACATGATTTAGAAAAGCTTACTTGGGCTTTAGTGTAAGACAATATGGGCTCTACTGGTTGGGATGCTTCATGGGTAAGTGATTTAGAATCTCTAATCTTTCGTTCAATTATATCAGTATTAATTCTTACCTCACAGGGTTGCTATAGAGGTTAAAGGAAAATAGTGAAGATAATGTCTTTGGACACGTGATCCTGCTCTGTGTGCACTGTGGATTATATCTTAGCAACTGTATCTAGATATAAGACAGGACTCCAGAAAGACTTGGAACTAAGCATGAAATGACTGCCTAAAAAATTCACTTATCAATAGAAACCCCCCCATAAAATCTGTTGTTCACTGTTGCAAGTTTTTAAAAACTGTTAATAAAAAAACTGTGTATGGTAGTTCAGTTTTATTTATTTATTTTGTTATTTTTATTTTCTGTGTATGAGTGTATTGCCTACAGGTATGTGTTGTGCAATACCCATAGAGGTCAGAAGAGGGCATCCAATCCCCTGGAACTGGAGTTAAGGACAATTGTTAGCCATCATGTCGGTGCTGGGACTCAAACCCAGCCCTCTGCAAGAGCAGCCAGTGCTCTTACCCTCTGAGCCATCTCTCCAGCCCTCAAGTGCTTTTTTATTTTTTTAAGAGTTTAAGAATATATTTGAACCACATAAACAAACAAAAAGGTATTATATAAGAAAATCAAGGCTTTTTTAATGAATACATTGTCTTACTTTCAAGTCTTAACAATATGAGGTAGGCAAGAATGACATCAGGTCCGTCTTAGAGATGAGCATGGGTTTGATCTACATCATGTAAGTGGATCTAGAGAACCCCCTCAGCTATCTGACACGGCCCACCCAATCTCTAGATCAGTCCCTATTAAGTCTATCGGCCATGCCACTCTGAAGGTGCTGGAATAAAGTGTTGGACACTGCCCTCATGGCTGCTCTGTTCACTGGCTAAACAAAGAATCACCATAGCAACCAGGAAAAAGGAAATGGAGCAAAAATCCCATCATTGACTTTGAGACAAATCTGACGATATCTGTGTGTTTAACATCATGAGGCATCAGCTGAACTGGAATAAAATAATGCTTTGAAGAGAATCATGTGTTTTTCTAGTTTTAAACAGTTACAAAGCCTTTACTGGTGACTGATAATCTATTTGATTTTATTTTCCTCCCAAATCCTAGTCATCAGCTGAAGGGAAGTCCTTACCTTATCAGCAGGAAGCACACTGCTCTACAGAACGCCTGTCAAGGAAGAGCTGAAAGCTGTTGCCAAATCTGTTTATTTTGATAGATAATTGAAAACTGTGTTCACAAAAGAACTCACCCTATATTGTTTTTATTTAGTCTATAACAAGCTGCAAATTTTAAAACCTTATTATATTTAAAAATATATAAGGGTCTCCTACATGTGCTGTCTAAAGCGATTATGACCAGAGGCATGGAGTTTTCAGAAGCTCATTCTGCTGTGTCCCAAGATGGCTCAAATTGCCACCTCTTCCCACATGGCGCTCTCCTTACACCATATTGCAGAAGCCAATACATCAGGAGAGGTGCCAGTGTGAAGTAGATGTGGCCACAGTGCACTAATGCTTGAGGGGAAGGAAGGGGGACCCAACGAACCATGGCACCCTTAAACCCTGTGCTCTTATTTCCTGATGGTCATGCCTGAGAAACCAGCAGTTGCCCCAAAGCTAAAGTCTAAGAATACATTGTAAACATAATAAAATAATGATGTTCACATACTTAACTGAATGATTGGCTCATACTTAAATAGCCTTTTTATAATCTAAAAATACAAACTCTTTTTTCTAGCCAGAGGCACAAGGAGGTCTTGAGATGTGCTCAATGGTTAGGTTAATTTGCTTCCAATCACATAAAAAGACCTCTTTGTGCCTCTGGTCACAATTGGCTGCTTCACTGCTTGTTTGGTTTTAATAAAGCTGTTTTTTTGTTTTTTTTTAATATACAAATACAAATCTTGAAGACAGAACACATGTAGGAGAGCCTTCTTATATTTTTATACCGGAATTTTAAATCACAGCTTATTTCAGACAAAACAAAAACAATATGAGGAGAATTCTTTTATGAACTTAGATACATGCAGGTAAAATACTCATACCCATAAAATAAAAATCTGTTTAAAATCTTTCTGTGAAAGTAAGCAAGTTTAGCAGCAGCTAAAGAGGGGAGGGAAAGGGGGAGGGAAGGGTTGGAGAGGGCTGGGGAGGGTTGGGGTGGATAAGGGAGCGAGATACCAGGAAGGATTCTTGGCGGGGCAGGTTTGATATGAACTGGTAACTAAGAGCTGGGAATTTAGGGAAGGTCCAACCATGGCAAAGTGAACTATTTCCTGGAGTGCAGGGTTCCCCCTCCCGGTACAGCTATGAGAAATGCACTAATGTAAACTAGGGGATTTTGAAGGGGAACTTTCAGTCTGAGAGCTTGGGGAGATAGAGAAGGAGGCATTCTTAGAGTGGCCTAAGGTGACTGATATGCAAGGAGAACCACAAGGAGTTGGCAGCTCCTAGTTTGAAGTTCCCTGTTAATTCCACAGCAGTCTAGGTAGGCACTCTCCTGGGTGAGGTCGCACAAATGTCAGGTATCTTCATATTAAGAAAGAAAGCTAAAACCAAGTCTCCAGACCTCTTTGAAGACAAGGTCAAGGGCAGAGACTCCTACAGTCATCAGGACTGACCTGAACTTTAGGATTTTCAGATTACTTTTTCTGGGGGATTTTTGTGGTTTATGACTGTGAGAACAGAGACACAAGCTAGAATAACTGTGGGATGAAATAAGAGAAGAAAACCAGGTAATATAGACAAAGAGTATGAAAATCTCCTAGGGAAAAAAGAAGAAAAAAGACATACAGGAGACAGTGGACCAAGCATGCTGACTGCAAGAGTGAAAAAGCCATCCAGAACCATGGAGTAGTAGGTAGAGCTGACAAGCTAACTAGAGGCCATACGGGATTAAGGTGGCACTGAAATCCAGCATGGCTGGTGTCCTGATGGGAAGAGAGAAATTTGCACCTAGGCACACTGAGGGGAGGTGCTTACACATGGTTGGAGGTGGAGGTGGTGGTCCTAGTTCTACACCTATAACCCACTGAAAACCAAGGGTCCGGCAACCAACTGAAGCAGGAAGAGATACCTTGACTTTAGATTTCTACCTTCTAGAATAAAGGAATAAATTCCTGTTGTCTTAAGCCACCCACTTTTGGTAATTTATTACACTAGTCATAGGAAGCTATAGATCTCCTTTTCCTCACAAACGAGGCTGCCCAAGTCCCAGGCGGGCACAAAGCGGCAGCAACTCTGAGCGTCACATTGGAAGGAGGGTACATTTACAAGGTTTCTTCCCTGCGTCTTCTACTGATTAATTCTGTTTATTAATTTGAACGCTGGATGATGGTTAGCTAAGGGCGAGATTAGAAAATACAAAATATCTCCCACTGATCGAGTCAGATACAAACACTGAGGTAGGCACATTGAGAAGAAGCTAATCAACAGAGAAATAAAGAGTTAAAACAGTGGCTTTTTTTTTTTTTAGATTTAAGAAATAAGGTTCAGAAAGTATTCAGTTTCAGAGGGCTTCATGCCACACTTTGTGATAACCCTTTTAGCTGAGTGATTTCTATACAGACACAGATATAAAGTTATCTGTTTCTAATAGTACAGAGGAAAAAACATAATGAAAGTGTGTTGTGGAGGAAATATTAGAAGTTCAAAAATTGATGCTATTTATAGCTCTAAAATGACAGAAGTTACTGGAGAGGCCATCGAACAATCTTCAAAATGAAGATGACCACAGCCGTCTAACTATGGAAAAGTCCTGAGATGAGAGGATTGAAGTTCTTCACATTAGTAAGGACTAAAATAAATAGACCCAGGGAGCCATCCTTTAGGCGTCTTCACATATTATGAATCTTAATTTCTTGTACATAAAAGGATAAAGAGCTTTCATTTTTCCTGGCGAAGTATATCCAATATCATCATCTTTCTATTTTGATTAACTATACCCATTTCCTTCTAATCTACTCATTCTAGTCAAATTAAAAATTATTTTCCCAGTAGAAATTCTTTGCTTACAGTCCTCTAGGACAAACCAATCCATCTATTGCATTCTATCCATCCACCTATCCATCTATCTATCATCTATCCATCTATCCACCTATCCATCTATCTATCATCTGTCTATCTATCATCTATCTATATCTATCTACTTTGAAACTATTAAAGAATTCTAAACAAAATATAATATGAAAATATCTACAAAAGAAAGAGTCAGGCCTCAGGCTACTAGCAGAACTTTATGAAGTTTGGAAAGCCTCCAGGGCTCAGCCTCACCCTGACCTCCCAAATTCTGTCCTTTACTTTGCCCTCAACTCCCAAGCTTTGCTCCACAGAGACCTTATTCCACACCAGAAAATGCAAAACACAGGCAGCACCAGGTTGAAAGGGACAAGATACTGCAGGTGTAAGTATGTTACACAGAGCTCACACTGCCTTACAGTTGAAGTGAAGTTCAACGTAACTAATGTCCTCACAAGAAGACCCTGGAGCCAGACACACAGAAGTGGGAAGGCCATGTAAAAATGGAGGCAGAGATTATAGTTACAGGAACAGACGTTCCCAAGATTGTTTTCTGTTATTATTACATCCAAGGTTGTAGTTAGCTAGACAGCCTCAATCCCTCCCTCAGGGGAGTCAAAGCACCATAGTTAGAGAAATCCTCACATACCCCATTTCTTCCTCCTTGATGTATACAGAGATGAGCCAGTCTCTTCTGGAGACAACTATTCTTTCATGATCCTTTTAATCTAATTCCTTCTTGTGAGCTGGCTGGTGTAACCAACCCCAGGGAACAAATTAGATGATCTTGTGTTCTCTTTCAGATCTATTAATTCCATCAACCACATGTAGTGACCCCAAAAGAACATTTTGCAAATGAATAATAGACAGGACTGAAGCACAGCTCAGAGTCAGAGAGCATGCATGAGGCCCTGGGGGGAATTTTGTAAAAAGGTAGACAAACACCAGGTACTGTCAACTAATCCTTTGCCTGGCCATGTGCTCATACCTCACCACAAACCTCTGTATTTTGTTGTTACTTGGACTTAAAGACAGAAGGAATGGTATAACTTAGTGAAACTTACATGGGAAGAGTTCCATACCTTCCTTTAAAAATGTCTACTATTGCCGGGCGTGGTGGCGCACACCTTTTAGCCCAGCACTCGGGAGGCAGAGGCAGCCGGATCTCTGTGAGTTAAAGGCCAGCTTGGTCTACAGAGTGAGTTCCAGGACAGCAGGGGCTACAGGGAGACCCTGTCTCAAAAAGACCAAAAAAAAAAAAAAAAAAAAAAAGTTTGCTATTACAGGAATTCAGTTATAAAATTAGCCACAAGCTCTAAACTGCCTTACACTGCAATATGTCATTTTTTTTCTCAATGGAACTTATAGGGAAGTTGTTGATTTTAGACAGCAGGTGGCTGCATAATGCACAAACTTTGGCACCTGACACCTGGTTTCTTTGTCCTGATCCCTCATTTCTACATTTCTGAGCTAGTTACTTCTTGAAGGGTCCTTCTTAATTATTTTCAGCTGTGATATGAGATGATGATGCTTCTTTCAGAACATTATTGGGTTATTTTTCAAGCATCTAGTACATTGAAATTATCATTTTTCTTTTTTCAGCTTTTTTGAGACAGGTCTCCAGGCCTCAGTTGATCTGGAACTTGCTATGAAGACCAGGCTGCTCTTGATCTCATAGAGATCCACCTGCCTCTGCCTCTCTAGTGTTGGGATTAAAGGTGTGTGCCTCAGCCAGCTCAAAGCCATCATTTTAAACAATATCAACGCCAAGTGTAGTAAGTTAAATGTCAGAAAAAGTGTGCTAAGCATTTAAATGTATTTATCATATTTTCTTTCTTTTCATAGGCCAATGGAGTTTATTTTATCATAATTAGTAACAAGATAGACTTATGGGCCAGTGAGATGGCTCAGCACATAAAGGTGCTTGCTGACAAGCTCAAAGACCTGAGTTCAGTCCCTGAGAGCCACGTGGTGGAAGGATTGAACTATCTCCCATACATTGACTCTGACCTCCACATGCATGCCATCACCTGCACATGCATGCATACACACACACACACACACACACACACACACACACACACACAAATACTAAAAATAAGTAAATAAGTAAAAATGCAACAACGTTTTAAAGGCAGATTTAAAATTATACTTCGGTGGTCAAGCCGATATTGTTTAGTTATGTAACTAGAAGGGCAACCATCAGGGACAAAGTGTTCGTATGACTCATTACTTACATGTAGACTATCAAATTCTACTAAGTTCTACAGCATCATTTCTCCCCTGTACCAGCAACTCACTCTTTATTTGATGAAACGGTGTTGATCAGTCAGTTTTACTGAGTTCACAGAGGCATTCACGTAAAAGAAATCCTTAGGTACATAATGATTAAGATAAAATGGTCATATTTAATAAATGCTCATAAAGAAGAATGTCTGAGGATAAAAATTAAGGTTCTATATTGAACATCATAAAGGTTCTATGTGGGTTTGGTCATTTATACCTGGTATAATATTTGAAACTGGAAAAAACCCCTGTGGTTTCTTTTTCATGTTGTATGAAAAACGTGGAATCCCCTGGAAAGAATGTGCAATTGCTATCAGGGATGGTGTTGCTAGGAAACCAGAATACAAACAGAAAATTCAAGAAAACCCTCCCTTTGGCCCCAAATCAAGGACTATTCTGAATTGTGCAATATATGGCTTTGGAAGGTCATGGTTGTTTGAAGGTATTTCTATTTTATAACTGTTTCAAGAGAAACAATAGAAATAGCGCTCAAACTCTTTCAAACAGTAGCAACATGGGAATTGCAATGTAAGCCTCCTACTACCCTCACTAGAGCTCAGAGCCAATAGTACATGAAGGTCAACTGTGTGTATGTGTGTTTACTGTTGTTGTCAAGGAGGCAAAAGAAAATTGTCAGATTCTAGCTTTTCCACTCATTATGAAAGGTCTTCGTGTATTTACTATAGCCTCTGATCACAGAACTTGCTGGGAAAACTCTGAATTCAAAGCAAAATGAGCTGTAAGATTTTTTTGAGTAAATTATTCTAAAAGCAGGGTTATTGGTAAGCAGATTTGATTTTATTGAGACAAGGTCTTTCTGTATTGCCCTGGATAGTCTAAAACTCACGAACTCAGGTGACTGTCTTGCTCAGCTCCCTAAGTAGCTGAAAATACAGGATGCATCAATGTGCCTGGTGTGGTAAATAGATTTTTAAAATTAGCATCAATAATTAAGAACTTGTTTTGAGGGGAGCAGTAAGGTGGGGTGGAGATAGGGAAGAGGATCTGAATATGACCAAAATACATTGCATGACATTCTCTGAGAATCAAAAAAGTTTTTACAAAGAACTTGTTTTGAAAAAAAGACACAAGTGAGAATTTGTCATAAATAAAAATAGATATAGGTTCATAATCAGAAATCTGTGGTCTAGTTCTCTACTGAGGCAGTCTTCACTATAATCTGCATCCTTAAAAAATATTTTTAAAGTATCACAAAGACAAAAAACAGTCCAAAACATCAAACTTGCAAAAACGCAAATGCAGTTTACGCATGCATCATTCATAAATGCAAGAGAAAAATCTAGCCAGCATTTAGGGAACGACCTTTGAATGTGAGAAGGATTAGTGGTTTTTGCTTCTCTTTCCCTTAAGGTCCACCCAGGCCAAACAGGATTTATGTTACATCACACTAGAATAATAAAAGAACCACAGGATTCCATGTCTCTTCTTATCTGTCCTCTCCAATGTGCTGACAGATTTGGTGCATGAGAGTTGCACCCTGGATCATAAATGAGGCTGCTTTAGGGGTAGGGGAACAGGTATGCCACACTTCTCTATGTGTGACATTATATTTATTACAGCTTAGCAGGAAGTGTCACTGTGAAAGTAATTCCATCACCAACAGAGAGGAAGGGCTCCTCCAAAGATTAAGACCAGACTCTGTGATTCACAGGCCAGCTTTGTCAGCTGGGATCTTTGCTGACCACAGTTCACAAAGTAACTTTGATTGTACATATCACAGTGTCTGGTTGCTATGAAAAGTTTCACCAAGAAGAAGCAAGGCTCCAGACAGATCTCAAGAGAGTGATCATTCAGTAATAAAAAGAGGCCTTGGGTGTTGTGGCACAGGCTTTCTATCCCAAGACTCAGAAGGCAGAAGCAAGCAGATCTCTATGAGATTGAGGCCATCCTGATCTATATAATGAGTTCCAGGTCAGCTGGCACTACATGAAGATGTTGTCTCAAACAAGAGGAGGGTAAGGATGGGGTTCACTTGTAACTCCAGCCTGGAGACAGAGGATCCCTAGACTAGCAAGTCAGTAAGCAAGAATAGCCACGCAGGTGAGCTCTGAGTTTGATTGAGAGACCCTGCCCCAGTGAATACCGTGGAAGAGCGATGGAGGACGACTCCCAACATCAACCATGAGCCCCCGCATGCACACATAGGCACTTGCACCAACATGCAGTTCACAGCTGCCTGTCTCTCTATAGGATGCAGCTGGCAGGTCTAGGCAGCCTGTGATGGCCCACCTCATTATTGTATGCTCATCTCTACCTCTCTCTTTGCTCTTACTAGGACAGGCATCATTAAAAGATTCTTTTTCTGACCGTTCTTTGAGGGTTCTAAGACCTCACAGAGATTCCCTTGATTCCTTTCTAGGCTTCAGTTGCAACCTTGAGGTTCAGCAGTTCTGTTAATTTTCTACAACTGTGTCCTAGCTGGGTTATGCACAACCTGAAGTCAAAGACTAATGTGGTACTCCTTAGTTTAGAAGTGTTGTTCATAGTAACCATCATATTTACAGGTCCAAATTCACCAATCAGAGATTCAGTACAGAATCTCACTGCTTCAAGCCCTAATCTAATTTCCATATGAACACAGAGCTAATTGCCTGAAGGCTAATACATCTTCTGATCATTCTGCAGGAGCTGGAATTCAGCATGCTCATATTGGAGCCCACTATTTCCGTACAAGCATGGTCACTTTCCAGGATCCCCATCTACAGTTACTGGTACCAACATGCACCAGATACAGGAACGTGGACTCCCTAAGGCTCTTCCTTTCATGGCAGACTCACATCCATTATGTCTGCCCACCCCACCTTCCACATACCTCCGAATACACTGCTTCACCCTCCACTCCTGTCCTTTCTCCTGTTCTATTATCACAGCACCCTAACAGGTCCTCCCATCCCTCAGTCTCTTCATCCCTCTATCCTCTTATCAACAGTATTATTCTAAAATGTACATCTGTGCAAGACACTATATTTCCTATGTGTCTGTGGTCCCAGTGCTCAAAAATGAATGAATGAATGAATGAATGAAGAAAGCCATCCATCTCTGGGGACTCCAACAACAATTTCTCTGATAGCAGAAAAATGTGTAAGCTTTGGCACTTATCTCTCATCAGGTGGTCTCTGTCAACCTGTCCTGCCTTGATTCCCATCACTTGTTTTTGTATAGTGCTTCTCAATCTTTTGTTCATTTTGGGGACCCTATGGAGGGAACCTTTCAAGTTATTTTTCCCAAGTTTTAATCCATGACATAGATATATTGTATATCTTTCATGTACTGTATGTTTCTGTGTTATGTTAGAGTGTGTATTATCTATATAGGTTAAAATGTAAGACTTTTCGCTTTTAAATGGGCCTCACAGATGCTATGTGCTAGCCTCTCCTACCCACAGAGTCCTACTGATTCACTCTATGAAGCTGACCTCGCAACATCCGTGTTTGGAAGAAAAAAAGCAGAATTACAAGATATAAAACATGTGTGCTCCCAGAAACCCAAGTTCACAAAAAGAAACAAAAATGTTATGGCATTCCCCTGAATAACAGTAAGCACTAACTTGACAGCCTTGTTGAGAGGGAGAGTTGGAATGAGGGTTGAAGACAAACACGGATGGCCCTGTGGAGATTCCCGGCCAGCATTCCAAAGTGCATTTTTATGAAGCCCTTGGTACAAGATGGTGTGTCCACAGTCAGCCAAGGAGGTGCTGTTTCTTTCAAACTGAGTCACTCATGGAGGGTCTTGATATGATTTTAAAATGTTCTCCCAAACCAATTTCTGAAAACTCTAGGGCTTGAGAACTCTCATTAATAGCTAAAAAGAAGATAAAATGGTGTGCGCACCCCCCCCCCCATTCTGGGAGGGTGATGTCATCCGACTCCCCAGAGAAAAGCCCACACTTTGCTTTGTGGAAGTCCAGGGTGACATCACCTCCTGATCACTTGCACTTAGCCCTTCCCCTGCTGGCTCCCCAGCTGAAGTGCTTGCTGCCTTTGCAAATGTCACTCTCTGCTCACAAAGCTCCTTGACCTTGTTTGTATGCTGGATTCCACTGCCAAGTGAAAGGAAGCCTTGGGGAGCCACAGGGGAGAGAGGAGGGGTGTATGCAGCTGGCTGGGAGGCCCTATTCACACAACTTATGGAAAGTTCTATAGGCCCTTCACAAGCCAGACAGAGGCCCCAAGGCCGAATTCAGCTTCCTAACAATGCTGTCAATACTGAATTCTGTGAACCGATTAGGCAGGCAGGGTGACTGTGGACGTTTCTTTATTTCTAGGGTGGGATTCTCTTTAAGGGTCCACATAAAGGCACCGCAGTGTGGGCTCCATCGCACATCTACAGCGCCACTTTCAAAATGGACCCACAGAGAAAGCCCGTTTGTAGATGCATTTTCTCAAAATAAATAGAAGATTTGTGCCATTGACAAAGAAGCACGCTGGGTAAACGGATTTATTTATCAGTGAGCATTATGAATGAAGTGTGCAGGGTGCTTCCTCAGCCCCAGTGCTCAGGAAATGAGGTCACTGTCGATTCTGAGCTCTGCACAAGCTCTCATACCATAGTGTGCAAAGGAGGGAGAGGAGAAAGGGCCTCAAGTGTCATCTGATCCTAATGAAAAGAGACTAGATGTTTAACATCACTGGTTATGGCCTGGTGAGGAAGAGCAGGTCAGGGCTGACTGGGGCTGGGGTGTTCAACCCCCCACTGATTCTAAGCAGATACCCAGAGGGACAATTTTGAGACTGTTGTTTTTAATTTTTGTCTGCTGATGTACTGTATGGCTTCATATATACACAGGAACACATCCAGGAGTCTTATTATTGCACTTGAAGACCGAGATTATAGTCATGTGCCACAACGTGAAGGCTGGTCAATCATGGGCAGCACGTACCCCTGTAACCCTATAGAGTATGTCACCTGGTGACATGACAGCAATTCAGTTTATGTGAGAAGACTCTGTGATGCTCACCCAATGATGAAATGGGCTAACCATGCCCTGCTCAGAACATATCCCTGTTAAGTGATACATAACTGGAATTTTTATAGTTAGTCTGTATTTTGTATTATGTTCTATATTTTGAATCCCATAGTTTTTCATGTTTCTCCAGTCCTTGGGGGATCCTACTCCAAACCTGTTTTTATGAAGTATAAGAAAGAAGCTGTGGTCTCTCTGGCTGCCTGAATCCATGACTTAAAGGACTCGTGTGTGGTGGCCCCTGCTCTAGCCTCCTGAAGGGACATACTCTTTGAACTTGATCCTAGCCACTCTCAAGCTCTCTCTGTTTCCTCCCATCACAAGTT